TTTTCGTATATCGTTTTGTTTTTTATTTTTTCTAGATATTTGATATATAATATAAATATAATAATATATAATTATATAATTGTGCAATAATACAAACGATAGAATATTTTTATAAATTATTATCATTTAACAATATTGTATTAATCTTATTTAAAACATATCTATAACATTAAGTTAAAATCATAATATTATTAATAATCTCACTAACCAGAAAACAAACAAAAATAAGAAAAATCTCAAATATCTATTTTCCTATATTCTGTCTATCAATTTTTTTTAATATTTCATACGAAATATTATATAATATACACAGCAAAAATGTGGGATAAGATGTTTTGGCCCACATAGGAAGTATTTTTGGTCCAGCAGCTGTGTTTTCCACTATAAGTTCAATCTTTAGAAAACTAGCCTATCTAACCCCTCGGTATCTACAGCAGAAAGAAGAAGAGGAAAACTTTTCAATCCAGTTTTGTTCCTTCTATCTCCATTTCTTTTTTCGTCTCATCATTCCTCTCTCTCTCTCCATCTCCATCTCTCTCTCTCTCTCTCTCTCTCTCTCTCTCACTTTTTCTTTTTCTCTCACGTTCTTTTCTCGGGCAGTCTCGTTACATGCTTTTTATCTTCTCAACTGATATCGTTCCAAAGAATTTTCGCATCGGGGAATCTTCGATCTTTTCAGTCTTGCTTCAATCCAGAGGCAACGTTGTGTGTTCTTTTACAAGTTTGATCGAACGGAAAGATTAATTTTTTTTTCCCCCCTCCTTCCTACCCCTGCCCACCTCCCATCCTTCTTTATCTCTTTCTTCTCATCTCATCTCTACTTCTTCCTACCCCGCCCCCCCCACCCCCTTCCATCCCTCGCCACGTTTTTTTTTTCTTTCTTTCCCTCTCATTTTTATATAAGATTGAATTTTTCCTTTTTTCTTTTGCATAACCTTGCACTCCGTACATTTATTTTTAAAAGGTCCAAATTTTCTTACCTTTTTTAGTATTTAATTTTTTTTCGCACGAATTAATTTCATCTTTCTTTTTTTTATCTTGATGTTCGATCAAATTGAGTTTTTTTTTTTTTT